CCATATTTTCCCCCTTCCCCATATTTTCCCCCTCCCCACAGCCCAGCCCAGCCCAGCCCCTTCCCTTCCCCCTCTCCCAGGGCCAGCTCTAGGTTTTTTGCTGCCCCAAGCAAAACATTTTTGGCTGCCCCCCCCTTTTTTGTTGTCTTTTACACGTTTGCATTTTACAATGGGTTTTTTTTTTGTTTTGTTTTTGTCCCGGCATTTTAGCCCCATAAATAGCAAATAGAATTTTCATTCATTTTTTTTCCATAAAGGCAAAGGCGCTTCAAGTGAACTCCCCCTTTCACTTCCTGCTGGGTCACAGCAGCTTTTTCCCTGCCCTGTCCAGCCCCTCCCTGTAGACAAGCACCCTTCACTCCTGACCCACAGGGGGAGCAGGGTGCAGGGACAGCAGAGAGCCAGAGGGGTGCAGGGAACAGTGGGGGGATATGGAGGTGGCACAGGGAATGGGAGGCACAGAGCCAGACGGACGCAGCTATCGGGAGGAGCAGGGTGAGGTGGAGGCACAGGTAATGGGACGTGGGGAACGGGAGGGGCAGAGGGATCGGGGTCTAGGGGCAGTGCAGGGAATGGGCAGCACAGAGCTGGGGGGGCATGGATCGGGGGGAGCAGGGGCGGCGAGCCCTGTAAATGTACATGCTTAGGGAAAGCTTGTGGTAACTTGTAACTGTGAGCAACTGCAACCAGACACAGCTTTTGGGGAGAAAACAAAGCACAGACGCAGTATTGGTTGGGAACGATGCAGACTAGAAAAAAACCTGTTAGGAGGAAGAAAGGGAAGGAGATGCAGGTTTTCACTCAGGAGAGATGATAGCTGGGGAGCCAGAAACCTGAGGGAAAAATACAGTGCAATTGCCCTGAACTGTGAGAATCACTATTTGCTTGACTATTTTGCTTTTCTTTTCCTTTGCAGTGTAGACACTACGGCTACGTCTAGACTGCAAGCCTCTTTTGAAAGATACTTTTGAAAAAGCCTCTTTCAAAAAAGAGTGTCTAGACTACAACCAGTATTTTCAAAAAAGCAAGCTGCTTTTTCCAGAGAGAGCACCCAGGCAGTCTTGATGCTCTTTCAAAAAAGCAGTTTGCATTACATGGTGCCTTTTTTTGAAAGAGCGCTTTCGAAAAAAGGCATTCTTCCTTGTAAAACGAGGTTTTTCATGGTTGAAAAAACTGCTGTGTTCTTTTGATTTACTTTCTAAAGAACGCAGCAGCAGTCTAGATGCAGGGGAAGTTTTTTCGAAAAAAGGCCACTTCTAAAAAAAACCCAAAACCCCTGTAGTCTAGATACACCCATTGGTTGATATTTCCAGAGTGGCATATTGAATTTAGTCACACATACTTTTTAATGAATTTATGTTAGCATGTGCCTAAATACCATGCACTATTTTGAAATCTCAACCACAATCTAAAACCAACTCCAAATGAGAAATTGAAATACTTAGCTTAAAAAAGAGAAATAATATATGACTAAAGTAAACTTGCCTTGTTTTCAGGTACTGCCCCTTCATTGTTCCATTTACGTAATATCTCTTCACTATTGTCAGGTATTGCTGTAAATCCTTTAGCACCTGATCCATGACGGCACAACAGCAATAGGAGTGGTACAACTGTAGGGGAGCAGAAAGGATCATTAGACATTGATAACTAGAGCATAAACCACCTTTAGGTAACTATGTGTAGTTAAACAAAAGGAAAAAAATATGTAGCACTTTAAAGACTAACCTAATAAGCCATCTTGTTAGTCTTTAAAGTGCTACATATTTTTTCCTTTTGTTTTACCAAGATCAGACTAACATGGCTACCTCTCTATTTCTGTTTGTAGTTAGTTAAGCAATAAACCCCTGTACCATGTGTGGGCATGCACACAGTTTTCAGAAATTCAGCAATTTAATGCAGAGGTTATTCAGTTATGGTCAGTAGATAATGAATATGTACTATGGCTCTGATTCTGCAAACACTCATGCATGTGCTTAATTGCGTACATGAGAGCAGTTCTGCTAAAGCAGGGGTGGGCAATTTTTTGCCGGGGTCCACTCTGGAAATTTTTGAACTGGCCCCAGGCTGCACAAGAAGGGGCAGGGCATCGTGTGGAAGGGGCGGGGCTCGAATGGAAGGGGTGTAGCCAAAATATTTCCGGTTTCCCCACCCCCAGACTATGATTGGTCTGGGGGTGAGGGAGTGCCTTTGTCCCTACCCCAAGTTCCCCCAAGGTGCCCATGACCCTGGCGTGGGAGGAGACTTCCCTCACTCCCCTGCCCCTACGCCAATTAGGGCCTAGGGGCAGGGGAATGCGCAAAGCCTCCTCCGCTCTCCTCTTTCCTTCCCTGAGAGCAGCGTGCGGCGCTTCTGGGCACCACATTTCAAGAAAGATGTGGAGAAATTGGAAAGGGTACAGAGAAGAGCGACAAGAATGATTAAAGGTCTAGAGAACATGACCTATGAAGCCAGGCTTCATGAACTGGGCTTGTTTAGTTTGGAAAAAAGAAGATTAAGGGGGGACATGATAGCGGTTTTCAAATATCTAAAAGGGTGTCACAAGGAGGAAGGCGAAAATTTGTTCCTCTTGGTTTCTGAGGACAGGACAAGGAGTAATGGGCTTAAAGTGCAGCAGGGGAGGTTTAGATTGGACATTAGGAAAAAATTCCTAACTGTCAGGGTGGTCAAATATTGGAATAAATTGCCAAGGGAGGTGGTGGAATCTCCCTCTCTGGAGATATTTAAGAACAGGTTAGATAGACATCTGTCAGGGATGGTGTAGACGGAGCTTGATCCTGCCTTGAGGGCGGGGGGCTGGACTCGATGACCTCTCGAGGTCCCTTCCAGTCTTATTATTCTATGATTCTATGTGCTCCTGGCAGGGTGGGAGGAGGCTTCGTACGCTCCCCTGCCCCCAGATCAATTAGCGCCTGAGGGGTGGGGGAGCAGCAGGGCCTGCGCAGGACGGATCCACCCACTTGGCAGGCTGAATCCAGCCCGCGAAGGCACTTTTGCCCACCCCTATGCTAAAGTCACCAGTTGTTGAACTGAGCCCTAATACAATTAAGGCCACTACCTCCAGCTTTGGGGGTTTTTTTTGCTATAAATAGCTGCCTCAATATACATAACATCTTGCTACTCCCAAAGTAAAGGATTTCACCCACGAATGCCTGTGTTTTAGTTGGGTTGTTGGAATAAAGAAACAGAGTTGACATTTTGGGGAGGAGCTAGAGTAGTGGAGAGGGGCACTGTTTCCAGTGGGCTCAGGATTTCGTAGAATATGTATCAATGCCTAAAATTAATATAAAATAGTTACTTACGTAGCAATAATAAAATTGCCAGGATAATTACTGCAATTGCTCCAGCTCCCAGCCCAACTGAAGAGTTGATGAGTCTGTCTTGGCAGGAACCCCCATCCACACACGTACAAACACTCAATGTAAGGATCTGCTTTTCAGCACAGCTTAGACCTTGCATATCTTTCACTAACATTTGAACTTGATTTGTGCTAGGCTTTATATCTTCTGGTAGTAACAGATGAATGCTTGTTTCTTTGAGGGAAAAGGATTGCGGTGAAGAAAAACATAATCAGTGAAACACGAATTGGGTGGAAAGAAAGTTAGAAATCACTGTCTCTTACTAAAGAAAAGCAAAACAGAATTCTACCAATGCAACAGAATTGACTTTAATCATACCAATTGCTATTATCATCATATACGACGCACTCTGTGGCAAAATATAACCAACGATTATTTTAATTTCTAGAGACTGTGGAAAAGCCTTGTTAAAAGTTGAATCATCTGTATGAACCCCCCTACTCCCAATACCATTCATCTCTGTAATGAGTCACAGGTGTCTAGTCCTCTTCCACTTTTAAAAGGTTAGGAGGGCCCTGACATAATGGACACACTGCAATTGTGCTGAGAAAGTGGGAGCAGGTTCCTAGGAATATCCCTATAGGTATCATGGAGAAGAGCTCTTCAGGGGTGAGGAAGTGGAGCATCAAGCAGTTGAGCAAAAGAACTCCTTGCTTTACCTGGATCACTTCTTTTAAGTGCCTGCACAAGTATTTGGGTGTGCAGTGGGGGGCTGTCTTGCTCATCACATTGTGATGGGGTCAAAGAAAAGGCTGTGAATGTAGGCACTCCTGCCTCACTCAAATCAGAGAACAGAAATGATCTCACATTGGGCATATACTCTGGTAGAGTAGGACTCCCCAACCAGATGGATATTGTTGTGAGGGTCCTCTTCCTTCCCCTAAAGTATTAGAGTATCTTGGACAATGGATTAAGGATCCAGTTGATGTGCTGAGTGCAAAGCAGTTTTCTTTTTCTCTATAGCTCAACTTTTGAACTGAACTGCCAGTCAGGAATGTGATCTGACTGCTGACTGCAATTATATGCCTGCAACTTCAGTCCTGTTGGGAAGATCCTCAGTCACCTGAATGTGATGTGGAAAGAGGGAGGGAAGTGGATTTAGCATCAACATCACTCTCAAGAGCCCAATCACAGGTGATCAGGTTACAGAATCACTTCAACCACAAAACACGTAATTCTGTATTCTATGGCCATTAGAAATTAAGGGGGGAAGACGGGGAGGAGACTAACTTTAAACTGTTGCTATGTCTCCTGGTGTGGAGGTGCTTTTGGCTGAATCAAACCCTAAAATTCTCAACTGCCCACAGTTAGCAAAATATGACACAAACAAAGCTGCAAAGAACTCAAAAATGTAAACAAAACATTTTTTGTAAGTCAAATTGATATTTTTCTTACCATTTACGCCTTCAATCAGCCATTTCTTTGCTGTCCCTTCAGGCTCATCAATGACAGTAAATGTGAAGGGAGCACTGTTTGGGTAAGCATCTCGATCCTCAGCTGTAAAACTGAAGAACTTTGCGTCTGAACAAACTGTTTGTGCTGGAGTCAAAATGATTGGACAATTATCATTGATATCCTCAACCTTAATTACAATAGTGCCAGTGGCTGTTTTCTTAGAGTAATCTGCAAATATAATTGTACAAATTTAAATTCTTGTGTGTGCATACATTTTTGCTTTTAAAAACTCACATTTTTTTCCAGAGCATAAAAGGCATAACAATTACAAATTTGGGACCTGATCCTGATGTCAAAGGTAGTTCTGCCTTTGATTTTAAGGGGGCCAAGATTTAACTCTTACTATTTATAGACATATCAGCATAGTGACACATTTTAAATATAATATATTTTAAAAACTAATGCTGTGTCTACACTGCCACTTTTTGGCTCAGGGGTGAGAAAAAAAACACACCCACCCCAGTGCAGCAAGTTTTACACTGTAAAGTGCCAGTGTAAATGAGCTCCTAGCATGGGGAGTGGTAGCTATTGGCCCCCCAATTAGGTGTGGTTTACATATAGCACTAGTAGAGCTGGTAAGGTGGTCCAAAAGTCCTGTCATGGCAGTGCTTTAATGGTTTAAGTGTAGACTTAGTCTTAGTAAAATAGAACTATAGTTTAAAAGAATCATTACAAACAACAAATGAGATACAAAGAGAACACTAACCACATACATCAAAAGCAAAAAGACAATGTGTTTCAGTTCTTTTTGCATTATGTTCAACCGCAATAGAACTATTGAGATGTTAAGTCTTCTCAAAATACTGCGATAGAACTATTGAGATGTTAAGTCTTCTCCTCATAATACTGCAATATTTAAACACTTCCATTTTGACAAGCAGTATTTCAATTTCACGTGTTCTGAACACAGACATGCCTTGCATGTAGTCCTTTCAATAAATGGATTATAGTCCCTAACCAAAATAAAGTGCAGCGGTTAGAAACCTTTTAATATTTGTATGTGGTGTTAAAAATGACAACAAAAACTTCTCCAAGATGCATTTCTAGAATGCATAAGGATATCAAACTGAACAAGGAAGTAACCACAATTTACATAGATACTGGAGTCAAAGGAGCCCTGCCTGCTTATACCAGAGAATCTGACCTTTACACTATTAAAAGGGTTGACTATACAGCCCTTGTTTATGTTGATGAGCGCTTGCTAACATTTTGATAGGAGTGCTCATCAACAGAAGGCTGTAATATTTAGGCCTACATGGGTACTGATCAGATGGTCAGACTGCTTGTTCTCTTGGGCTACGTCTACACTGCAGTGCTATTTCGTGTCTTTTGAGCACGCCCCTTGTTCTGAAATATAATGGGCTTGCTATTCCGACTCCCCTGTAAACTTCATTCCACGAGGAGTAAGGGACATTTTGGAATAGTGATTTATTTAGAAATAAGTGCTGTGTAGACAGCACCAAATTTCGAAATAAGCTTATTTTGAAATTGTTGTGAAATAAGCTACACAAATTGCTTAGCTTATTTTGAGCTATGGCTGCAGTGCAGACACACCTTTGCTATGCAACATTAGGTTGAGGCCTCAGTAAGAATGAAATTTTGTAAAGAAAGGTTTATGAATACATATGACATGAAAGCTAATGCCTCAAAACTTACCTTGAGTTATGGCAAGAATGGTGACAGTGTAGGTACCATTATTTACATAAATGGATTCATAATCAGGTACTTTTACAAACTTGATTTCAGCTGAGGAGGAATCTATCATGATCCAATTATCTTTATCATATCCTTTGAGGTATCTGTTTGAAATAAACAAAAAAATGTCATTATAATTAGAAAGACAACTGTGGGATGGAGGGAATGGAAGCTGCTGTGCACGAACACAAATTGAATATTTGCTCTACACCAATGTATCATCTCCATTCATATGGGATCCCTATGTTTCATCCTAAATCTCAATTATTTGCTCTACACCAATGTATCATCTCCATTCGTATGGGATCCCTACATGTTTCATCCTAAATCTCAATCCACAGTAAAAAGCCACAAATGGCATACTTGTAGGTTTACTAAATGGACACCTTAATACAGATTGTTTCTATAGGGAGATGCACTTCTCATCATATGAACTAATACAAAAACAATTTTTTTTTCAAGTCCATACACTCTACATAAGACCATATACAATGCCCATCTCATTTAGACTGTAATTAGACATCTATTAAACAGCATGACTAAGAAATAATTTCAATGTAATGCTTGTTTCATACAAAGATTTAGCATGACAGTCTATAAATAGTAACACTGATAATTATTAAAAATATTATGCTTACTTGACATTTTCTGCTACTTTTGAAGAGTCTTCATCATAGGCTTGAAATGTCCCAATAATTTGGTTTATTTTTATAATCTCACTTGTCTTAATCACCATTGTGTGGGGTTTGAATACAGGGCCTTCTAGCACATTTTTCACCTTAACTGTGACTGGAATCGATTTTGCTTTGTAGCTATTCTGAATTGACTTGTGAAATGCTGCTTTATTTGTAACAACAATGCCCAAGCTCATGCTTTGAATTTCCTCATAATTGAGCTCCTACAAAAAGCATAAAGAAACCTTAAACTTTATTCAAAAAGTAAACACAGAATTGGACACCCAGTTAATATTTAAATGTTCAGACTTTACACATTTTCTTTATTAAAAATGAATAAATTAAGGCTAGCTAAAGGTCCCAGAATGACAGCACCAGAAAAAGAAGTATGACTTAACTTGTCAAGTCTCCTTTCAATATATAATGTCCTGTATTATCAAACAGTGTATAGAAGAAGAATATAATATCTAGCTATTTGTATGGATAAATTCAAGGTAAGAGCTTCATGCTGCTGACTTTGGAAAGAACAGTATCCCCTGGCCATAGGGAAAGGATCTTACTCCAGGAGTCACAATTGGAAAGAAGAAGTAGAATGCTTTTGTATATTTTAGTTTTTGCCCTCTCATCGTTATCATATTTAACACTGAAAAATGCTTTTCATCTGTAGGGCTTAAATCACTTTATAAATCCACGTTATAAGCATTGTATTCAAAAGCTAAAGAAAAGGAAACTGAAGCACCGAGAGTTACTTGATATGCTGAGTGTTACTGTGCATCCCCAACTCATGTTGACTTGAGGGGAATAAGGATACTCAACAGTCTGCAAAATCAGGCTCCAAAGCAGTGAGACTCAGACCTCAGTGGTTCAGTAGTCAAATTACTGGCCAACATTAACCTAAAGAACCAGAGTCATGTGAATTCAGTGTTTAATTTACTATACTACTATACATATTTAAACATTATGACAGGGGAAAAATTTGTACAAATTAACTTAATTAGAAAACAACACAGCAAAAGCATCCTGATTGGTTAGTAAACTTAGACTGGTTAATAACTGGATCATACAGTGTTTTACCATCACTTACGGCAAAGAGCATGGGAGACTAATTAAAAGGGCCACTTGTGTCTTGCAAACCTCAGTCTGAGTATCACTGCTCAAAATGATTTACTAAAGTGAAGGGGAACATGTTTTCTTCTGTATGTAAAAACAATTACTCACTACACCTGAGAGGCGTATTACATCTGTGTATTATTTGCTATTCACATGCTGATAGAATGCAAACAGTTTTAATTTAAATTAATAGCCTATGTAATTTATTCTAATATTTAATAAGTCTCCTTTGATTAAAGAAACCGATTCTCATTATCCACTTACCTTCACAAGAGTCAAAACTCCTTCATTTGTTTGAGTATCTGTCTCTATATGGAAATAACCTCCTTCATTCCCAGAGACAATTGAAAAGTTTGCCAGCCAATTATCAGAGAATATTTCATCTTTGTCAAATGCTTTCATTCGTATAATTTCCACATTTGCTCTATTTTCCTCGACACTGCCTTCATACTGCAATTAAACAATATATCCTTATTAAAATGTTAAGTCTATCTGATTTCATTATGGCAGAATATATCCTCTGTGTATCATGTGATAGTAAATTACATGTTACTACCAGACACAGAAGCACACAGTCTCTCTCAAACAATCAACCAAACCAAACCAAACCAAACCAAACCAAACCAAAAACAAACTTACTGTCTCCCTTTCAAGAATGGGCAGATTATCATTGACATCCAAAATCTTGATTTTTACAGTACAGGTTTTAGCTAGCCCATTTCGGTCTCCATTTCTGTCCCTGGCTTCTACAGTCAAAATGTAGTTACTTTGTTCCTGTGTCACATTCAAAGATAAATGTTTAAATCTATGTAAAAACAAATTGCAAAATCACGTAAAACATTTTTTGCTCCAGTACGTTTTCTGTATATTTCTGTGATATGAAATGGCTGGCTATGGCAGTATGTTTCATTAATATTCAATTTCAATTATCATAACCTTCCTGACAGCTAAGTTGTTGTACCAGAGTCCTAAGCTCAGGAAAGTACTTAGCATTTTCCCAAAGAACTTAGTAAATGGAGAGTAGAAAGAATTAGAGAAACATAAAGAGATAAAAACAACCACCCCAGCACAAAGGGCTTTGGGAATTTTATCACTGTCCTTTAATTGTGGGCTAGAAAATGGTTACGCCACAGCTAGAGGAAAGAGAAATTTATTGTGAATGCTGTATTTCATAAAATAATTATTATTAGATTATTACACACGCACATAACAAACATAATTAGCAAAGTTTTATACTAATAGTTCAGTTATTTCCCTTCAGTTTTTAGTGAACTTCTTGACACTATTCTCCATGACAAATGACAGACTGATAGTACTGGCTGGATAAAGCTAGGCTTGCTGTAAAGGTAAGAAATGAAAACTTTCCTGCCATGTCCTCCCACTGCCAGAATGCTAATCTGTTTGTTAGGAGGGTGCTCTCTAATGGCAGTAGTTTGTATACACGTAGATGGCTAATGGAAGGAGCACCATCTATTGGACAATAAGAATACAAAGCATTACATATGTAAGTTAATAGGTTCAAAAAAGTTGTTGATAACACTTAATATGCAGCTTTGAACAGGGGGTTATAGAAATCTGCCTGTGGCAATTCAGGTCTTAATTTGCAATATACACCCATAAAATCTAGGACTACTCTTACAGAACCAGATTATGAGCTTTGCAGTTTGTTCACAGGAGTGACCAAACAGAAAGAGTGAATAATCAAGACCGCGTGTGTGTGTGTGTGTGTGTGTGTGTGTGTGTGTGTGTAAATAGGCACCGACAAAAGAAATAAGCCCCAAACATTGCAACTATCCCTATACAACTGGGGCATCTGGTCACCCTAGCTCACACTGTAGGACAAGACAAGCTCTTATTACTCCCCAGTGCTTACTACTTACACTGTAAGCACCAATGTAGTGGTGGGCAGACAAGCTATCACCAGGCCACTACTTCCCTCTGGTGCAATTTAGGACAACTTTGTGAGCAACGCCTTAATTCTTAACTGGAACAAAAAGCACCAGCCAGCACAGCAGAGCAGACACAAAGGGAGAAAGCCAGCAGTTCTAGGAAAGGCCTATACCTTCCATTCTCAAGGCGGGGAGCCAGGCATGCAGAATGAGATTGGGGGAACGGCAGAATTGTGTATCCAGCCCTCACCTATTGAGCAGGACGAAGCAGCAATGAGCTAGGAAGACTGAAACAGTGTTGTAAAAACTCTGGGAAAGAGCCAATATAAGAGTATAGTTTACCTCTCTGTCAAGGTTAAACGTTGCTGTTATAATCTCACCCGTGTTTTTTTTAATATGGAATGCAGAAGGCTCATAAGGCTTTTCAGAAAGAATCTTGAAAGCAATTTTTGAATTTAGATTGTTCGGTTCATCTGCATCTGTTGCATTTATCCTCATCACAAATGTGGCTGAGAATTAAAATACATACATATATATTGATTTACATTGCTCTGTCATATACTGGAAAGTATCATTTATAAAATGATGGAAAGTTTTCAGGCCGACTGAACTTTTTTGTGTCTTACTTCTAATTATTTTTTAATAAGAGTTGAAGAAATGTCAATTTAACACTAATATTTCATTAGATAGTTTGCACAAGCAAACAAATGCATATCTTGGATATAAATACTATAACCTCAGTGTAACAGCAAAGACAAGTGGACTAATATGGATGTTCTTTAACTAAAAGTTAAAAATATGTTGGAAACTTCACAGGTATAATTTAATACAAACAGAAAACAAACAAAATGTCCTTTTACATCATCTGCTCTCAGGCCTGGTGACCTGACTCCGATGTTTTTCTTTGTAGTCTAGTTTTGAAGGTTTTTTTTTTTTTAATAGAAGGATGGCTACTTTTAAATCCATTACTGAGTATCCAAGGAGGTTAAAGTGTTCTCCCACTGTTTTTTGTATGTTACCTTTCTAAATCTCTGATTTGTATCTGTTTATCCTTTGGCACAGCAACTGTATGATCTGGTCAACATACAGGGCAAAGGGGCTTTGCTGGCACATAATCACATTAGCAGATGTGCAGGTGGATAACACCCTGATATTGTGATTTATGTGGTTAGGTCCTGTGATGCTGTCACTTGTATAGATTAGGGATGCTAGATATCGTGTAATAGAATAGCCGTGTAACCACATGAAATCTTAGTGGTTATATGACTATTCAATAGTCCTCAGGAGTGGGCTTCCCGGGGAGCCCCCTGCCACTCTGCTCTGCTGCCTATGTATCAGAGGCAGCAGTGCGGGGTGGCAGGCGGGAGCCAGTCACCAGTGGATCCAGTTTAAAAACCAGCTCCCCACTCAAACTGGCTGTCTGTTGCCCCATACTGCTGCCTCTTTTACAGAGGCAGCAGCATGGAATGGCAGCAGCCCCCGGCCATGGGGATCCGAGCACCCTGTGGACAGAGGCTGGTCCACAGCAGCAGCCCCTGTCTGCGGAGAGCTGGGACCCCCGTGGACAGGGACTGCTGTGGACAGAGGCTGCTTTGCGGCAGCCTCCCCTGCTCCTCCATCCCCGTGCTCCTGCCTCTCATAGAGGCAGCACAGGAGGGAGAGGGCAGGCAGCAACATGGAGCTGATGCTGGGGGGAACTGGCTTTTAAGCTGGCTCCCCCCAGCACTGGCTTCTGCCTGCCTCATCTCACTGCCTCTGTAAGAGGCTCTGGGAGTGGGGGAAGGGGTAGGCGTATCGTCAGACCTGGCATATGCTGGGAGCCAGCTTGAAAGCTGACTGCCCACATGTGTCGGCACATAACTACAGGCGACCCCCAACTTGTGACCACCCAGCCCAGCCCCCAGCTGGGACATGGCATCGTTCGTGCCATGCTGTGGAGCCACCTACTGCCTGGCCCAGCCCCCAGCTGACCAACTTATGGCGCCATTTAGGGGCTATCAGAGGCAGCAGCGCAGGGATTGGGGGGGGACAGGCGGATCTGGTGCTCGTGAGGAGCCTGCTTAAAGCCAGCACCTCATGGGCACCAGCTGCCACTCTACTCCACCTCTGATACAGAGGCAGTGAGGAGTGGGGAAGGCATGTAGTCAACAAGATTAACTAATAAGTCCAGGCTTAACAGTTAATGATGAAGTCAACTATAGGCAACCCCCAATTTGTGACTGCCTGACCTGTAACCCCTCACATTTACGGCCGTCCTGCTCCAGAAGCTGTGGGGCCACCTACCAGCCAGCTGAAAACACCATTTGCACCAGGCTGGGGGGCCACCTACTGCCTTGCCCAGCCCCCAGCTGGCCAGCTCATGGCGCCATTCGTGCTGTGCCATGGGGCCACCTACTGCGCAGCAGAGCCCCCTGGCTCCAGGAGACTACAACTCACAGGAAGCAAAACTGGCCAGGAAGGGAACCCCTGTTCATAACATTGCCTATATGGGCAATAAGGGTTCGAGTTAAGACGGCCCGACTTACGACCGTTCTCCAAGAACCAATTAGGTCGTAAGTGCAGGGGGTCACCTGTATATGTTGACATCCCTAGTATAGATATGTGGACAGAGTTGGCAATGGAATCTGTTGCAGGGGTAGATTCTTGGGTAAGTGTATCTGAGGTATGTGATGTATGGCTGCTGGTAAGTATTTGCTTCAGATTGGAGGGACCATCTGTATTAGAGGACTGGCCTGTCTCCCAAGGTTTGTGAGAGTGAGGGAACATTTTCCAGAATAGGCTGTGGATTGTCAGTGATGCACTGGAGGGGTTTTAGCTGGAGAGCTTAGGTGATAAATTATTTCCACGCTTTTCAGGTTTTAAATTGGTGGAGTGTGTCCTGATGCAACGTTAGCTGTCACTGAAAAAGTCAGTGTCTTTATTTTCAAAATCTTTTTCCTGAGAGAATAAGTAAAATCAAATATAGCAGATATCATTGCTCTTGTTAGAAAGTGGTGAAAACAATACCATACAGGACTGGTATAAAAAAGTAAGGACAGAAGGGATTAAGTGATCATATAGAACCATTCTAGTATTTTACCTGTTTCACTTAACTCTTCAACAGAGCCAAAAAAAACTTCCTCTGAAAATATGGGGTAATTGTCATTTATATCGTTAACTTTAATTCTCAGGTCTAGTGGCTTTTCCATATTTTTTCCATTCTGATCAAGTGCATAAGCTTTAAGCTGAAATAGACAAATAAACATAAAAATAGGAATATTCAAACTGATAGAAATTCTTAATACTTAATGTTTTGCATTAGAGAAGAAGTCAGGAGACATTCAAACAAACAGATGCAATTCATTTGAAATGTTAAAGGGAGAGCATATAGAGAAAAAAAGAGAAAGTTATACTCACAAATTCAACTTACATAGAACATTGAATGTTGTTCTCGGTCAACTTTTCTTGTTATGTTCAGTTCTCCAGTTTTTCCATTGATGATAAACAATTTATAAGGTGGTTCTGTCACTCCTTGGCCAGAGATTAGGTAAGTAATTGTCACCCCTGGATCACTTGCATGATCAGAACTTATCTAACAGGAACACAATAGAATTAATTGCATTCAGTAAATGAAAGTTCCTTAAAAATGTATAGAAACATACTATGAACAACAAGCAAGATATTTATTTATATGTAGTAGTATGTGCCCTAATTATGTAGAGGAAGCTATGGTGTATTCTCTTTATTTTTTTGGAAGGGTAGCTAAAATGAGCAGGAAAATATGTTATTCATATTTTTACTATAACTAATTAAATAAATAAAAATTAAGGGCCAGCTTTTGCATGGCCCTTGTTTGGGTTCAAAGTAGTAGCGAAGGATACAAGGAGCTGGAACCTTACATGTCCTGTGCAAGAATGGAGTGCAGGTACTATTGCTTCCTACCAAACAACTCCAAAAGGGGTGTGAAAAAGGAGAATCGGCTTCCCACCCTACTCTGTTGTGGCCCTTAAGAGTTAAATGGGCATGGTATAATGAATGCACTGTACTATCATTAGGAATGTAGCAATTTGGTACATATTGCTGTGCCTCTGGAGGCTCACTAAGATACAGTCCCTCCCAAAGCTACACCTACAACACACCATATAGCCCTAAAACACTTGTTTTATGTCATTACTAGCCCATTTACCCTGTGTTGCTTGGGCCATTAACTCAATTAAGTTTTTTTTTAAATAAAAAGAAAATTTATGCAAAGGACAGTTTCTCTTCCCCTTCCTGTTCTTGTCAGGGAGCGAGAGCATGCCTGCTTCCCTGCGCTCTCCAGCCAGTAAGGCTGTGTACAGTGGAGCATTACCATGTGCCACCACAATAGAATGACTGAGCATACGCTAGTAGCCCAATGCTAAAAGGACTAAGTCAGACTTCACTTATAATTCATACTATGGCCTGGGATCATGTCAGACACTGTAACTGAGAGAAGAGAGCCAAGCTTTCCTATGATTTCAAGGACCATTCCCTATTGGAGGAAGCCACCTCTCTCAAATGCAGAGGGGACAAGAGCCAAACGAGTGGGAAGGGAATGGAGTAGGGATGTTAAATTTCAATTAACTGACTAATCAAATAGTGGATGCAAAGTGCATTGATTATTCGATTAGCTGACAAGGGCATCTCTGCCTTTGAAGTGCAGCAACAGCCTCAGAGCTGTTGCTACACTTCAAAGGCAAAAGCGTAGCAGGGAGCACAGGGCCAGTGGGGGAGTCAAGCCTCTGACCCTGGGCTCCACACAGCGTTGCCGCTTTGAAGCACCCCCTTTTCTTACCCCCCTTGCTCCTGATAGAGGCAGCAAGGATGTGGGGAGTTACTAGTCGACTAGCGTGTTGAATAGTCGACTAATTGTTCACATCCCTAGAATGTAGGCGGTCTAAACAAGGAACTGATGAGATTGACCTGGCTGAGGGAATGAAACTCTGACTAGGAGTTGTGGGGGAAGGAGAGATTATGGACTGTCTGGGCAGGGAGCCTGGGGTCAAGGAGTGAAGGAGCAGAAGCAGGAGGTGGAGGGACTGAGACTGATGGTCAAGGAGACTGGGATGACTAGAAGCCAGCTGGGGAGGGAGGAACACTAAACTCGGATGAAAAACTGGGAAGGTCTGTGCCTGTGTTGGGCAAACTGGGAGGAGAGCTGGAGACTGAGAATTAGATAGGGTGGGAGTAGGAGTGGGAGACCAAAGTGACTGAGCAAGAAATACCTGGATGTGAAACCTGATTTAAGTGAAGACTGGGGTAAGGACAGGATTGGGGTGGGAATGAGACATAAAAGTTTGACTAGACAGGACAAAATGGGGGTAGGGCGGAGAAGAAGAGACCACATTCACCACAGCACATCTCCTTCCAGAGACCAAAATTGAATCTAAGATTGAGGAATCTCACCAGTTCTCTGCTGTCAGCAAGTATTTGTGAACACCACTGTCAAATAAGCATTTAATTCCCTTGTAGTTCTGATCCACACCGAGAATGAAAAACTATTACTGCTGTCTGTTACTCCATGAATTCAACTGCCTCAGAAGTGAGCAGTGGATCTAAAGAGTCCAAACCACCTGATGGACCATGTGGTGGTCATTATACCACCACATGATAGAATTTCTCTTTCTTAAAAAAAAAAAAACTAGGAAATTACATGAAATTATAACTATGTTATAAGAGCATTAAGGCTACGATTAAATATTATTATAATGCATACACTCAGAAAGGACAAACTAAGGTCGCACAGGCAACTTTGCTTAACATTAACTTTCTTTACATAGTTTTTATGGGTAACCAGAGTATAAACATCACAAACTAAAAGAAGAAAAAAATGGGTAAAAATTGAGGCCAGCCAACATTAAACAGAGCCCACTGACATTTTTCTCATATAAACAAGCACTATAAAATACATATACTCAGTACTGCACAAAGAAAGTTGTTTGTGTGTTGTATAGAACCTTAAGCAACTATTAATTTGTTCTATTCAGTGCATGAAAAAACTTAAATTACAAATAGTCCTGAAACACCCGAGAGACTAACAAAAATGTACATGGTATCATGAGCTTTTGTGGACACAACGCACTTCTTCAGATAAATGGAGCAAGTTGCAAATAGCAGGAAAAAAGGGGCCAGGGTGGGAAAGTGAAGGGGGAAAAAAGGTCAATTAGAGTGTCCATGTTAACTGAGGCTAAGAGAGTGGGCTGTAAGTGCCCATACTTAACTTGTAATGTCATTAGGGTGTTCAATGTAGCAGCCCATTACAGTAAGGTCTTTGTTCAGACCTTGATTAAAGATGTCAAATTTTCAGATGAAGGTAATATATGCAGCTTCTCCTTCCAGCTGATTTTTTGAAATTGATTTGTAATAATATAGTCACTTTTAGATCCATTAATGAGTGCTCAGGCAGGTTAAAATGTTCCCCAACAGGTTTCTGTGTGTTACCATTTTGGATATCTGATTTGTGTCCATTAATCTCTAAGGTGCTGCAGGACCATTTGTTCTTTTTTAAGTTTTTTCAATTACAGAATAGCATGGCTATCCACTGAGACTATTTAGTACATGTTATTCATTGTTGAACAAATACAAAATTAGGATTTTCTTCACCAATGTAAGGAATAGTAAAGACAATTACCATTGGCCTAACCTGCAAAATATTAATGCTCAAAATTCCATTATTGGGGCCATTGCCAATGCTGAAAGAACTGGAGAGTGTTCTTAGTAGTTTGGGTGCTTAGAGTAGGTCCAGCCATAATTACATGCAGCAATACATTTTCAATAATGCTTCCCATCGTACCGTGTTTCAGTGGTTCTCTGACTTACTCTAGCAATTGGATTAATTTTCAAACTGTCGTCCTCTTCTGAAACTGTAGCAGGTGGAACAATCCATTCTCTCTTTTGTCTGATTTTGCTATTCTGATTAGACAGATGATCCATTTTGCCACCTTGATTAAAAACCTATAAAAACAGATTTAAATTCCAACATTACACTTTAGCCATGAAACATTTATACTTCATGCAGTTGCACACTACTGTGTCCAGAACTTCTGAATGCAACTTTCTGCATATAATGTTAATTTAACCAGCTGGCTGTTTAAAATTTACACACAGATTTTACCCTACATATTTTTTTAAAGTATGTATGGTTAATTTTAATGGTGAAGGTCAGATTCTTTCTCAAAACCCCATTTAAGAAAGAAATGTGTCTTTTCTTTTAAAACACTCACTTGAAATGTTTAAAGGCCAGGTTTAAAATAAAATAAATGAATAAATTAAAACTATGAGACAACTAGGGATTAATCAAATCTCCCAGAATGGGTGTGAATAAAAGTGGTGCCTATCAGACAGTAGGAAAAAATTATCTATGTAGTCTTAGTCTTCTCGTATTTCCCTGTTTGCCTTCCCCTCGAACCTCCCTCACCACCAGTAAATTACTTCGATCCTCTTTCTTTTGCCCCTCCTTCCCCCTCGTCCTCAGAACAAGAGGCTTCCACATCCATCCTCCCAGTGGCTCTTTGTCATCCAACCTTGCACCATAATCTTGTCAAACCTAGAGACTTGCAAACTACTTGTTTCCATGACCTTATTCTCATTCCCATGAAAACCCACCCGTTCACTCTTGTGGCCTGGCTTAATCAGTGCAGTGGCTCTCAGTATCGCGATTCAGCTTTGGGGTAGGAATCATGTTGGCATCTTAGATACCTAAAGTGGCAGTTAGATGCCTAAATCCCACATACAGGTAACACTGGAATTCACAAAACCACTGCTTAGCTGCTGCCTCTTCCTGTAAGTCAGGGGTGGGCAATAATTTTTACAGGGGGACACTTAATCAATTTTGATACCTGGTCACAGGCGAGCTTCATCTCTGGAAGGGGCAGGGACTTGGATGGAAGGGGCAGGGCTGGGGACTAACCTACCCTCAGAGTTGTCTAGAGGGCTGGAGGCTTTGAATTAAAAACACAGCAAAGGGCTCACGGCCTCACCGCTACTGCATTGCTTTGCTGCCACCCAAGGTAGCTGCAGCTATTTAATGGGCTTGCGGCTGTGGCTCCTGTCGGAGTATTGCTGCAACTGAGACCCGTGAGTCATTTAAATAGGATCCTGCTGCCTGATCTACCATTTAGAAATTTGGTGGCACGGACAGCAGGATATTAAATAGAATATTAAATAGAAAACAGCCAGATGCAATCCGTTAGGTAGGCCAGATCTGGCCCCCAGGGCCACAACTTATCCAACCCTGCTGTAAGTGCTTAAATTCCCTAGACACCTATGTTTCCTATATTAAGCTCTCAGAGGTGTCTAAATTTTGATTGCTGAGCATGAAGGCAGCTCTGTAACTCTGCACTCTTGAGCAGCTTGGTTTCTTATTCATGCCTAAGCCTCAGAGGGACTCTCAGACTAGGAGTTTCTCCATTATCTTGCTTGTGTAGTAGGATTGCTCTGTTAATGCCTAAAACTGGACAAAAGATGGTAGAGGTGCAGCATCTAAATCCCCCTGGTGAATCTGACCTTAATAGTCACCATCATTAACTTAGAGAACCTCAAAGTTGATTCATCACAACCTTAATATTTTAGGGAAGTTTTCTTCCAATGGAAAATAGCATTAGTTTTGATAGGTTTAGGACTGAGCCTATTTACTTATATTTCTGCAATAAACAAGTGATATTACATTATTTTTGGGTGTTATGTCTACATCAAGATACCAATTATAAACACTTTTCTCTTATTTACTGTTTGCTTAGAAAACCTTTTATACAGATGGGGTATTGTATTTATTTCTTAGCCATTACCTACCTCTAAGTGAATTCCATTTCCAAAGTTCAAACAGATCTGTCAAATAAATGATATAGTCAACATTATTCATTCTGCATCAGTATAGTGGCATTAAGGTACAGCTCATACAACCACACCCAAAACAAACTTCAAACCAAAAACAAAAGACTGACATTTGCAAGTCATTCAGGTACTTTTAATAATTTCACTCACCGTATAAATAGTTTATGAGAAAATTTAATATGAGTAGGATCCTTGCATACAAGACTTCATTAAGTCTCTCTTCTTTATGCATAAGTGATCATCTCTTGGTGTAACAGTCAATGGGAGCCTTTCATTGACTCAGATGGGTGTAATATCAGGCCTATAATGCTGAAGCCAGCAGCATTAGAGTGAACCTCTCTCTGTCTGTCTCATTGAGTACCTTTGCACTGTTAGGCTGTGGATCACATAGAACAAGGGTGGGCAATAATTTTTGATGGGGGGCCACTCTAAGAATTTGTAAAGTGGTTGAGGGCCACACTCTTCCATGATATTGATGGAGGAAGTGCAAGGTTCTGGGGTGGAGGTTGGGTGCAGAAGGGAGCTTTAGGTAAGGGAGGGAGTTTGGGTGAAGGAGGCAGTTATGATCTGGGGCACTGGACTGAAGTGTAGGGGGTAAGGTTGCCAGATGGTTTCAAAAAAAATACTGGACACACTTGACATTACATCACAATCTACATTACATCTGATTGAGAAAATACTGGACAGTTCTATTTACTCAATTATAGTTTCTCAATTTGTTTCCCGAACAGAAAGCTCAAATACTGGACTGTTCGGTTAAAAACTGGACACTTGGCAACCCTAGTAGGGGGTTGGATTGTTTCCTAGCCCAAAGAAGTAGGGTACAGAAGGGGGTGGAGGGATTTGGGTTGTAAGCTAGGGCAGGAGGGGACTGTGATCTGGGGCAGGGCTTGGGGGGCCGATCTGGGAGGGGATATGAGGGCAGAGGATTTGGATATGTGGAGTGGGGGGCAAAGGATTGGGTGGGGCTGGAGTCCCAGAGGCAGGGTCTGGCCAGGAGACTTACCAGCCAACAGTCTGATCCTGAATCGGCCTCCCTGCCAGGCAGTGTTCCCTCTAAGCTGTGAGGCAGCACAGCTTCATAGGTGATTAATCAGCCCTGCCCAGTCAGTCCGCTCCATGCATGGAGCCCTGAGCCTCAGACTAGACCAGGCTGATTAATCACCTGTGAAGCTGTGCTGCCATGCGGCTTAGAGGGAACACTGCTGCCTGCCCCTCTCTCACACAGGCTGCAGCCATGTGCTCTGTAGCCTCTTGTGCTTCGTGGCTACCTGTTATGGAAACAGGCAGCTCCCATTGGCCAGTTTCTGGCCAGAAACCAGCCAATGGGTTTGTGCTGGGAGCTGGAGCAGCTCCTAAAGCTTTCTCCCTTCCCTCCGGACTCACAGTTTTTAAAGAAAAAATGCCCCGCAGCTGTGTTTCTGAGTGGCATATGAATGGGGCGAGGCAAGTGGAAAGCTTGTCTGGGGCTCTCCACAGAGTATGCGGGAAGGATCTGGTGGCTTGGCAGGCTGGATCCGACCTGCGGGCCATATTTTTCCCAGGCCTGACACAGAAGCATCAAAAAGGCTTCAGATAATGTCTTAAGGCAAAGATATATCAAAATAACTTCTTAATTTATACTTATGAATTAGAAAAGTTCTCTGCCTAGATACCTTTACTGTAAGTAATAGCCTTCAACTCCATATAATATAATCTAAAATGTATTCGATATTTTTTCCAAACATATGTGTCTGTAGCGTGTGCACTTGTATTCCCACTCTATGGTGCCTTCAAGGCACCCACTGTAAATTCCCAATTCCTCTCTTGGGCTGAGTCCCCATCGGTCTCCTTCCTGTTTTTTTAAGGTAGCTCCCACATTACACTGCGATAGTAAGCCAGACTGCTAAACAGGCCAGTTTCTTGGCTCTCATTCTGAAGTCTACGAACAGTATAATTGCTTACAGTTACAAGCCACCACATAATTATTTCTAAGCAAACACATTTATTCTCAAGGTAAAAGCACTGCAGAGAAAACATATTAAAAACAATAAATGAAACTACACATGCTAAAAAGCTTATCAGAGGTCACTCGATCTCCAAACTCAGACTATTGGTAGATGTCAATTCTCCAAAACTCACAACCTGATGTTGTCCGTGAGAACATGAGAAAGGCCATATTGGGTGAGACCAAAGATCCATGTAGCTCAGAATCCTGTCTTCTGATAATGGTCAATGCTAGATGCTTCAAAGAAAATGAACAGAACGGATAATCATTGATTCACTCCCTGTTGCCTTCCCCTGCTTCTGACAAACAGAGGCTAGGGACACCACCCCTGACCATCTTTGCTAACAGCCGTTGATGAACCTATCCTTCATGAATTTATTTAGTTCTTTTTTGACCCTGTTATAATCTTGACCTTCACAATTTTCTATGGCAAGTTCATAACTGTCTGAGATTTAGAACTAGAACCCAGGCCACAAAGTTCAACTTTTCTTTATATAGTTTGAGTCTTTTATCTTGTCTCTGGAAATAGGTTATGAGCAGACAGTGACATGCTCCTCAAGGTGAACCTTCAAAAGTCTGCATTTTTTTACATAAGCAGAGGCGGGAGGGATTTGGTTTAATTAATTCATAGGTTTCTCAAGAAATCCACTTATTATCCTAAAGTGGACAATAACTTTTGATGGGGGGGGTCATTCCAAGATTTTGGAAAGTTGTCAAGGGTCACACTTTTCTGTGGAGGAGATACGGGGTCTAGGATAGAGGTTGGGTGCAGAAGGGTGCATGGGGGTAAGGGACTGGGTGCAGAAGAGGGTGTGAGATCTGAGAGGGAGTTTGGGTGAAGGAAGGGAAATGGAGGTGCAGACTGCAGAGGGTTTGGGTGGTGATGTGGGGGAGGGAGTTGGGGTATGGGAGGGGCAGGGGTGCCAAGGGCAGGCTTTGACTGGAAGGTGCTTATCTAAGCCAGAAGCCCTGCAGCATCCCCAAGGCAGGCTGCGCTCCCTGCCTGCTGCAGGCCCAAATCACTTTAAACTGCAGGCTTCTTCCCACCCCATGGCTCTCAGCTACAGGAAAGGAAAGAGGCTTGGGGTACGTCTAGACTACATGCCTCTGGCGACAGAGGCATGTAGATTAGGCTACCGGACATAGTAAAATGAAGCGGCGATTTAAATAATCGCCGCTTCATTTAAATTTACATGGCTGCCGCGCTGAGCCGACAAACAGCTGATCAGCTGTTTGTCGGCTCAGCGCGGCAGCCATGTAAATTTAAATGAAGCGGCGATTATTTAAATCGCCGCTTCATTTTACTATGTCCGGTAGCCTAATCTACATGCCTCTGTCGCCAGAGGCATGTAGTCTAGACGTACCCTTGTGCACCCCAGGCCACTTTCTCAGCTCCTATTGGCTGGG